TTGTGACCACTCAGTGTATAAGTGTTATAATGTGAGCCAATCCTACCATTCGTTGGTAAAGAGTAACTCAAGAATTGGCAATGTCTGGTGTTGAGTAGCTTCCTTCCTTTTAATCTACCACTTCAAAAAAAATGGACATTTAGCTTAGATACCTCTCGAGTAACCTTTGCGCGAAATTCAACAAAAGCAAAAACAGACAGCGTTGAAACCTTGCATTCAAAAGTATGTTTGGGATCTGATGATCTTTCATACTTTCAACTTTGCCTGATATTACTTTTCTCCTTCAAGATCGTTTCCCTCTGAACTGCATGGATCTTCCTAATGTTTCAGCCCATGAAGAAGCAGCAGTTTTACATGTAACGAAATCAGGAGAATGTATTTCCTATCAAGCGACTTGAAGACCACCAAGTAAAAAACTGGTCATCTGAGACTACAATTTTTTTACTCACAACGTTAATTTTTGCCAACATAGTATACCTACCACATCTTGACCAAAACAAGAAACAAAAAAAAATGAAATATTTGTTTGTAAGTTTTCAGTTTCCAATATGAATTCTGGTAAGAAATTTTGTGAGACTTTGATCTCGCTGAAAGAACACCATCAACCTAATTTTGTAGTGATCGGACTGTCTTTACCTTTACTGACCATCTTATTATGGTTTGACATTTGAATATAATACTCTATATTTTCCCCAATACGTTCTAATAACTAATAGAAGCAGAAACAGTGTATACAATCTTCGAACAATTAAAAAATGGTACAATCATTGCAGCAGTTTCTACAGAAATATTTAATGGGACGAAGGGTATGTGCTGATTTACCTACTGAATCAATTTTGACAACTTTGTATGCGGCAGTCATGTTAATTTAATTTTCTTAGCCTTTTCCCCTTCAAGCAGCCATATCTATTATCATCGTTTTTCAGCTTCTTTAAAATAACCAATATTACTCTAGGCTTCCTTCCGATTTGGGTGTGCATATAAATGATATCTATAAACAACTTTTGTTCCATCTCTTGAAACCTCAATATAAATTAACACCTAGAACATTTGTTCAGTTTTGGGAGATATCTGGTGCTTTAATAGTCTGCAAATTTTTCTTGTAATCCTACATGTCAATATCGTAAGTGACTCACCTTTGTGCTATTGGTCCTAACAGTTTCCACGTAATCTTACAACACCTCTTAATACCTTGCAAGCAACTCAACTACCCCCCCCCCAAAACACAACAACAACAAATTAACATTATGAGAGCTGCTATTTCTCGCCTGAATCTCTCAAAGCTAAATATCTCAGTTAAATACAGCAAGATATTTGCTCAACTCACTAAATGATGTAAGTCATTTTATAAATCGGCAGCATCCTCTTCGCAGCTAGCAACACCCAAAACCTTAATATCATCTGCAAATTTAAATAGTTTGCTGACCATTCCTTCATCTATGTCATTAATATAAATTAAAAAGAGCAAAGGTCTTAAGCCTGAGGTACCTCACTTGTGACATTAACATTTGACTGAACTCTATTTGTAATAACCCTCTGGTTTCTCCCATCTAACCACTCTTCTATACAATTTGCTAACGTATCAACCGCACCTATAGAGATATTTTTTTACAAACTTCTTATGTGGCACCTTGTCAAATGCTTTCTGAAAATCCAGATACACCAAATCTACACTCTTAACCTCATCTACACAATCAGTAATCTTTTCAAAGAATGTCAAAATATTTTTAAGGCGAGATTTTTCCCTGGTGAAACTATGTTGACTATCCAATAAAATTTTAAACTTTGTGTAGCTTTGTGCTTAATTACAAACACACCGAACTGGTTCTATTCCATTATAACAAATTCAATACAATAGTACGGGATGTTACTATTATTAAAATAAACTCCTAGTTGAATAGATTCGCGATGATATTTTTACTGAGATGTTATCATGCCCTCGATGGCTCAGCGGCAATTCTGGTAGATTATAACGCTAAAAATCGGATTCTCGTGATGGACACATTACAGATAGCCTATTGTGTAACCTTGCGCTAAGCAACAATTAAACAAACTGAGCCATTCACGACTCAAACTTTACAGAGCAAGGAAGCTTTTGGGTGAAAGCATTCTGCATATCGATACACACACACTGCCATATTTACAGTGAAACCTGGTTAGTTTGTTGCTCAATAATTTCACCAATGAATTAGCAGGAAACATCTAATTCATACATTGCTTCTGGAGGACCCAGAAACTACACCTATAAGGTGACCCAACAATGCAAAGTAAAAGACTTCACCTTAAACGCTAGAAATAGTGAAATGTAATTTTTTAGTCTTGTTGATGCTGCGTAACATACTAACCAAAGCAATAGCATTCATACCTCCCAACGTTAGAGTATTACGTTTATCAAACTATGTAATTTATTAAATACTTATCTATTTATTAAATACATATTGTTTCCAATAGACGTTTATTGCAATCAGATTTCTCAATTACTCCTTACAGCTATCTTGAATTATTTACTTTTGCATCATCATCATCCACAAGTCTCGATGGTTATAAGTCAACTTTGAGCAATCACCTAATCACAACTCGGCAAAAATGTGTCAAAAAGCGAAGTTAGGTTATTTTACCATGAACGATGAGGACTAAGGTTAAGAGATTTAATTTTTCTGTCGCAAAATACGTTAACCCTTTGTTGTTAAGCTTAATTCAGTAGGATAACTGTACAACACTATCGATTGATTTACGCATCCATTTCAATTTGAATGAAGATTAATGGCGGCCTACGAGGAGTGAGATATGCTCTTCAAAGTCTCTCTTTGATGCTTTAGTGAAGGAGATTAAGTTTGTGTGATCGAGGAAGTATTATTTCTTTCATATCGGAAAGATTTAAAAGTCTTCATTTTCCTCACAAACATTCTTGTCTTAACAATATACATCAAGAAGTTACTGATATAGCCTTTCAATTATTGAAGAGAGTTCACTTTACACAATATGCAGTCTTTTTTTTGTATCGTGTATTTATGTAGCGCAACTCCTTTACTTGACATATTCAAATTTTTTTGGTCCTACCTAATGATTCTTATTATACTTATGACTGCAAATATAATTACAAATTTTTCTTTCACTTGTTTCTGGGCAATACATAGAGCAAGGGAGAAAAACCTAATGGGTTAAGCGCCTGTTTCATTCTCTGACACTTTCCCACTATGTGAACCCCTCTGGTGTTCTAGAATCTAGAACAAAATGCGAGTCCAGTGCCAGAACCACCAGGCCTTCGCATTAAGTGAAACTGCATTAAACGTGTTACAAGGCAATGTTTCCCTCTCGATTAGAGACAGCGGAGAGCCATCTAGATATAAAAGCAAGATTATCGAGTTAACTTAGAACAGAATTGGTTTAGAATATAAAGACAGCTTGTACAGTGAATGGATTTTACCATTGAAAATGAAACCCACTCTGTCTGTTATGGGTGGTTTCTTCAGCTAAAGGCTAAAATAATCTTGTTGATTAACGATAAAAAGTGAGGTACTGATTAAATGAAATTTATTCTCTAACGAAACAATTTGGACACGTAAAGTAAGGCTTTACAATTATAAGCATATCTACAGCCTTATGATCAACCGAGTAAAATAATTTCACCTCCTTTAATTGGCTTATTAACCCTCGAACCTCCGTTCTCTTGTCACTTAAAAACTTTAAAAAATGCTCTATAAAAGATTATCAAAATCACCGTAGATAAAATGGTTGAACACTAAAACGAATCTGTTATAACTCAACATCCGGATAGCTTAAGAA